TTTCCTTGTGTTGTTTCCTTGTTTTGTTTCCTTGTTTTGTTCCTTTGTTTTTTGTTTTGTTTATTGTTGTTCCTTGTTTGTTTCCTTGTGTTGTTTCCTTGTGTTGTTTCCTTGTTTTGTTTCCCTTGTTTTGTTTCCTTGTTTTGTTTCCTTGTATTGTTTCCTTGTGTTGTTTCCTTGTGTTGTTTCCTTGTGTTGTTTCCTTGTTTTGTTTGCTTGTTTTGTTTCCTTGTGTTGTTTCCTTGTGTTGTTTCCTTGTGTTGTTTCCTTGTTTTGTTTCCTTGTTTTGTTTCCTTGTTTTGTTTCCTTGTGTTGTTTCCTTGTGTTGTTTCCTTGTGTTGTTTCCTTGTGTTGTTTCCTTGTTTTGTTTCCTTGTGTTGTTTCCTTGTGTTGTTTCCTTGTGTTGTTTCCTTGTGTTGTTTCCTTGTGTTGTTTCCTTGTGTTGTTTCCTTGTTTTGTTTCCTTGTTTTGTTTCCTTGTTTTGTTTCCTTGTGTTGTTTCCTTGTTTGTTTCCTTGTTTTGTTTCCTTGTGTTGTTTCCTTGTGTTTTGTTTCCTTGTGTTGTTTCCTTGTTGTTGTTTCCTTGTGTTGTTTCCTTGTTTTGTTTCCTTGTTTTGTTTCCTTGTTTTGTTTCCTTGTGTTGTTTCCTTGTTTTGTTTCCTTGTGTTGTTTCCTTGTGTTGTTTCCTTGTTTTGTTTCCTTGTGTTGTTTCCTTGTTTTGTTTCCTTGTTTTGTTAACTTGTTTTGTTTCCTTGTTTTGTTTCCTTGTTTTGTTTCCTCATATTTGACTTCCTCCTGTCATTTGCTCCTCTTGTTTCCTCCCGTTATCTCCCTCGTTATCTATAATAAATGATTTACAAAGAAACGTCTGACACTAAAGCCCACTGCATATCGTCCTCTGAGGAAACCCTTCTCTCCTGTTGGTGGAGTTCTTCCTCCATCGCTGATCACAGTTTATTTTTGGCCTCCTCCTCTCCTCTCCTCCTCTCATCCTTCATCCTTCATCCTTCATCCTTCCTGGTGTAATGCGACCCATTGACGTGCATTGATCCAGGTCCTCCTGCCTCTCTTCATTATTGACTTTCTGTCCTCCGGTCGGTAGAGTTTGTGAGCGTTCGTTCTGCAGCGTAGAGTCGAGTTGAAAGTGTAACGTTTGATTAAAGAAACCTTTCCTGCTCTCTGCGGAGCTCCCTCTCCTTCAGGAAGGAATATATAGGTGTTAGTGCATGTAAATGGTCTGCAAAGGATAACATTCCTGTGTTCCCTTCTGACAGAGTTTCTCTCCCATACAATCAACTTTTTCCCGAAAATCTCAGAATTCAGATTTTTTTCATAAATTAAAAAAATCTGACTTTGTTCAAAGATTTCAAAAAATGCAGACTTTTTTCCAGAATTATGACTTTTTGCTCAGAATAACAGATTTTCAGAAGAAAGTCAAAATGTTCAGATTTTCAGCAAAAGTCAACATTTTCAGAATTTTGTCTGAATTTTTGAAAAAAGTCTGAATTTTGAGATTTTCTGGATTTTTTTTTGAAAAAGTCAGAATTTTTTGAAAAAGTAAAAGCAGTAGTTTGTACGATACAAAGTAATTAGTGCAGAGTTTGTTCAGACCTGAAAAGCTGAAAAAGAGTCTGTTCCTCTTCCTGTGGTTCATGAGACCAGCTCTTTAGTTCCTCTTCCACCGGTGGATACTTCTCACATTTCCAGATGATTTGAAGGATGCATGCTCACAGAACTCCTGGAGCTCAGAGCAACTGATCACACCAAGTTTTCTTATTGATTAGTCATGGAAACAGTTTTTAAATGAAGCAGCAAACAGGCGAGTAACTTTCCCTCTCCCTGCGCTGTGAACACGATATCTGAAGCGATTCATCACACGTCTCTGCGCTCTCTTCATCAATCAGCCTCAGTGCACGGACAAAATAACTATTTATTTCCCTGACACAAAGAGAGGCTACAGGGACACATGGACCCTTTAAAGTGCCTTAATGAAGTACATGTAGGAGACTGATTGTTGTTCCTG